CCAGGGCGCTGCAACGAGCGCACCTTTAGTCACGAAAAAGGCCACATCTCGATTCCTTTGGGCTCTGCTACTGCTTACACTGATGTACTCCATGCTGCGCACACACTTTGCCGTAATCTCTCGCTCCAACGCTCAACTTCCGCTTTTTCATAGTCCTGACCCGTGAGAACCACTTCTGTAAGACATTAATGTTGGTGTAGGCGCTAACCCTGGCAGTAATTGCACCAGTCGCTTGAGGACAAGGGTCCGTTTCGACCTCAGTGAAAATATCTCCAGTGGCTGCACTGCTGCGATCACGCTTCATAGTTCGGCGCCTCTGAAGGCGTTGCTGAGAGGCTAGGCCTTAGGACATGGATACTCCTACGCACAGGAGAATTTGTGACCGCGCACCAGTCCATGTTTACATGTCGTAATGTTGACCTGTGGTGCAGTGACAAGTGGCGCGCTTACCACGCGCGCGGATCAAATCCTGGGTCGTGAGTCGCCCGGGCCAACCAAGCCTTCCATCCCTCCGGGGTCGGTTAATTGGTACCAGACTTGTCTGGGAGGATAAAAACACTGACTTGTACATCGGCTGGCCCCGCAAGTCATTGTATAGGCCACATCGCATTCAAACGCCACTACGAATGTACAAATGGAAGTAGAATGCGTGCCGCATCCCAAGGGGATTGATCAACGGCAAATGCTTTATCCTTTTTTTTTATTTAATGTTGACATGTTTGCTCGTAATCAGCTGGAATTCCCTCGTCAAAGCAGCGGTCTCTTTTATCTCATAGTTTAATCAAGTCATCGGCGCCGCCTCCCTAGATTCATATGGTCTACGTAACCGGGCCTTATAAACCAAACTTTCTCACAGGGAACTCTCTGAACAGATGCATATAAAGAAGAGCAACAAATGTATAACACTAACACTTACATGCACAAAGCACAGAACAAATTCGGGCAAAGCACGTGGTTGAAGGTAAAATTTGGTGAGAAACTGGCGAAAAAAGATTTGAGAGTAAAATCAGCGTCCGTTGGTAAATTACCACATCAGAAATGAACAAGGCATAGATAGGCTGTTTCCCGTGATGCACTTAGGTGAGTTCACCTCAAACCTGCCAATGGCTAAGAAATTGTTCCATTTAAAGTTTTCGAATTCTAGTTCACCTTCAAAAAATTCTCTTTACTCTTCATAATCCTGTAAAAAGCCCATGTTTACCTTTACTGTGTGACTTCCTTCTTATTTTGTACATACATATATATATATATATTAAATCAGTCAAATCATTTCAAAATTGCTGATATACATATGTAAGGTAGTGGTAAGTAACGTCATACAGCACTCACGGTGGTGGACAAACTCCGGCTTGAATCTGGCTTAGGCTGCCAAAAGCAAGACCGCCCTTCGCGGGCTCTGAATCGGTACGAGGCTCGTTTCGAAGATAAAAACACTGAACTGCACATCCACAACCTTCACATGATATTTAGCAAATTTCTTTAGATCAAATGAGTTGTCCAAAAGGATTGCACTTCCGCATGAAAATCGAGTGGGTGGTGTAGCTCTCGAAAGAGAATGATCGAGGTCAAGCAAACCGCCCCTAGTACTACATACAGGGGCGGGGGTTCCTTCAGCCAAGTATTTTCCTAAGTGTCCCTCTATAAGTGAACGCAGGCCCTCCTTTTTTCGCGAGGTCTACTGTAAGTGCTTCAGCCTGAAGCTCTTACGCAATTTCGTGAATCGATTTAATGTTGGATAGTTTTCTAGAGGCATTAGCTCCCACTATGCAAATCCCCTCGAAACTAGCTTTCCAGTAAGGTCGTTATGGTACACGATCCTTCGAAGACCCCATTGAGCTCGACCAGTGCACCATGTTTCCAGGGCAAATTCTTCTGTTGCCGTCCACGTGGGTGGCCAACATGAAAGATTTTCTTATAGAATGGAAATGTGCTCTTCAATATTAAGTTGGGAACACTCGGTCTCAATTGAGCAAAGTGTGCTTAAATCCATCTGAAAGTGGAGACA